ATTTACAACATGTCCAAGCCTCGGGTCTGTGCGGCGCACAGTGTTTTAGTCGTTTACCGAAACGTTTCACGCAAGTTTATTGGTGGTTTTCACTGTCACGCCATCAAAATTAAAAATGGAAGCCTTTTAATACCGAAAGTCTAGAATTTGGGAAATGAAAGAAGATACATATTCAAAAAGTCTTGCCAAGAACCAGGTCTGTGCAATATTTCATGTGCGATATATTCGGAAAAAACGTTTTACCCAAATTTATAAAGCTTTGGAGACGCCATGTTTGTGTCCCTTTTAGGGGCACAAATATGGCCGCCGGAAACCAACAGAAACATCTGTTTTTGAGTTTTCCTATTAATGCGTGAACTCTTCCCTTAAGGAACTCATAAAGATTAAAGTAATATTTATTCTGAGACAAGGCATGTTTTTAGATAGCAAAATCTCCCAAAATCGGTAATGTTTTTAATCCACGTAAGAGCTTTCCTGGCCGTCAGCTAAATGCCGCGTCACGCAAAAGCCTGGAAATTCAAGCGTCCAGTGTCGCAAAAACGAGGAACCCTTTTGAACCGAAAATTGGTTTGTGTAAAGGTTTTAAGGTGTTGTAATACTACGTGAAAAATAGAAACTCAGAAGAAGCGATAGTTTCTTAGTTTGAATTTGGGTGATGTCATGCCCAAGAATAGAGCTTATGGGATACCAATACGGTGAATACAAATCAACAAAGACATCAGGTTTTCCTTTTGTACCGCTTAAAATGTATAAATTGCTGAAAACCATAACTGGGAGATAGCTGTTCTATAACCAGACATCTCTGCCGAGGCTACCGCTGTGGTGTAACGCACTGTGAAAATTTGGAAATTCAAAATGCTATATTTTCAAAAGACGCCACGGGGCTGAAAACTTCTACAAAGATTTATTGTTCGGTCCACTTCAACCTGGTATACCCCTCAGAGGACCTCGCTATTTTGATTTTAGAATTTGATGATATCATGGTGAAAACACCCCTATAGATAGATGACGACATGAGTCGGCTACTGGAGACGACCAATCACAGCCCAGGGCTTTTCTCATAAAAAATGGGAGGCGCGCCCCTCCTACACGCCCTACGCCCGTAGGGCGTGTGAGGATCGCGCGCTTCGCGCGAGTAAGACTCGTACCCTACTCTTTACCGATTTCATTACATATTTTGAGAAAAAGCCCGACTGTCCTGCAGTCTAGACACACTGCAGGGTTTACCATACAGTACTTAATTCAAAGGTGCTAGATGCTTTCAGCGCTTCACCTTGCCCTTTGCAGAACTCGGTGAAGTGTTTGCAAACCAACCGCTCCCTGGATAGCAAGCCATCCACTGACCATCCAAGCGTTCAATATATTTGGTTAATTTCAACAGAATAATTAATATTAAATTTTCAACAGAATGATTCTAAAAAAACTAGGAATGCCTCGATGGATCGCAGTGAAACAAAATGAAACAACAACAACAGCAAAAAACCTGTCACGCAGTAGTACAATCGCGTGCTGTATATTCATATGAACTTGTGTGACCTTTGGTGCCGTGAAAGAGTTAAGACAAGTGCTTCTTTAGATATTCCCCAATATATCGGCTCCGGAATTATTTAAAATAAACCGACATAGTTCATTCCGGTTTACACTCTTATCAAGAGTTCGTAATAACATTAAGGTAAATTCAATCTTAAGTTGGATTTTTAACCAAACAGAGTATTTTTGCGAATAAAGTAATTCTTGCGTTCAGACACCCAGTCAGGACTTATTATAAAAAAGGTCCTACTTGGTTCGGTGGCTGGATGAAAGAAGCACTGTTTGTCAATGTAGCGGAATTCTTTTGGGAAACGAGAAAGCTCGCTTTGAGGCCTTCGTGCCACTAAGCTCTGGGGTCGTCGTTGCAAATCTTCGGTGCTTGGTCGTTCGCGCTTTGAGAATGCCGACACCGAACTCGTAGGTCTTCGACCACTGCTTCGGCTAATTTGAGAAACATTACTACTGGGCCTTTGAAGGGCGCTTCTAGCTCGTGCTGTTGGTGATGGCTGGAGTCCTTGAAGGTTTATTCTTGCGGAATAATTTCTTCTGTGGTGAAAAGGCAACTGGATAGCACGAGAAGTTTCCGGCTTCCGTGCTTCATCCCATGCCGTTCT